ATCTTTATCTATCTAGATAGATAGATCCATTTTCTAGGGATGTTGGCCTAGCTCTGTTGCTGCAACGTCTACTTAGACGGGTTGCCCTATGCAGGAAGATGCCGCAAGATGGCGGCTTTTCTCATGAAAATATTCTATGGATCAAACGGCCCGCCACTCTCAAACCTACTCGATATACCCCCTGCCATATAGTTTATAATAGATACCTACTTTACATCATCGTCTTGTATCTCTTCTACTAATTAACTGGCTTTCAAATTAACTACTGATCAGAGAGCCTTGCCAGGCTTAATGATCGCCCCTAGTAGGGCTACCCCGAACAAGGCTGCAGCCTCACCTTTGGCTAGATGCAAAATTCCATGATATAACAACTCCCGCTGTGGACGAAGAAAATGTCGGACTCGGAGGAACTTTGGTCAAACTGCACGAAAGTTGACTTCTACACCCTGTTCACGGGGCCTCGTTACTTCCCAGGAGATGGTTTCGACCAACGAGTCAGAGTCAACCTTGGCACTCTCGCGGAAACGAAGGCCAACACAAGATGCCCTGCCTGCCGTCTTGTCATGCTGGGGGCCAGCTGACGCATCCATGGGAGCACTGTGGGGATGAGGTGGATCCTTCCCAGGTCCAGGTTGTTGCCATCCCAATGCACGGTGACTACTACGAGGATATGAAGTACTCCGACGCCAGGGGAAATGATATGCTAGCGAAAAATCTACAGATTCGCTTAAATGGACTTGAGGGTTGTTCTCCAGATTTGACCAGGACGATTCGTCGCCATCAAATAGGTCCTGGTATTCGGTTGTTGTCTCCCGATTCAGTGATCTCTGAGAGACCCGCAACGAGGGTAATCTCAGAGCATTGATAGGTATGACCCAAAGAATTGATCTGTGCCATCGTCGTGTTGATCTATACAGTACAGATCAACCCAAAGGTATGGAATGGAAAGGACTTTGCAGGCAAAAGTTGCATCCTCTATTACCTGTGGCATATTTTTAGGAAGTCTCACATTTCCATCTTTGCTTCTGTCTGCAAATTCAGACCGAAGGCTCTCATAATCTGCGTGCTCCTGCCTCCATACTCAGCTCAGCGCTGCATAGGGCACTTCGGTGAGCTTGCGCTCCACCAGCTTTCGCTCTGCCACATCAATAAATCGAATGTTGTCCAGCCGGGTCGCTGTCAGTTGGGCACCTCGTCCCTCCCTGTAGTGGCAAGTATCCTTGTGGCTCTCACGACATATCTTCATCCACTGGTGTACGAGTCCCAGACTATTTTCTCTGTTTGTAGCCCGGAAACCGTTGGTCAGGGGGCGCCCGGCAGCCTCCCAGCGGTCCTTGGATAATAAACACTGGGGTTTAGCTCTCACAGAATAGAACGAGGATCTCGGCCAAACACAGCGAACCGTCCATCACGAAGCAAGCCCAGCTCTCGTCATGGAACAAACGATCCTGGACAATGCAGGAAGGCGAGCTAGCAACTCGGGTGGCTTTCTTTGGCGCTTATGATGTATCCTTTGTGTGCGGTGCAGGCCATTGGAGAGAATCCCACCGTTCGGGAAAATATGGCCATGATGCAGATATACCCAGCCTAAACCTGCATCCTGAGGGGTTCTACATGCTATCTGGCTATAGCTGGCAGAGTGCATCCGCATGGCGATTCGAAGATTATGATCTAATCCTTGCGATATACGCCGGGCGAGATATATCCATCCAACACCAACGTCACAGTCAGCAATGTTCTCCGTCATCTGCTCTCCCTATTACTCCACGTGATCGATCATTCCCTTCTACCTCCCGTTGTCTTATGTCCCGTCTGCCTCCCTGCCTATCTCAGAAAATAGCACCGCATTAACAACCACCACCACAATGTCGTCACCCGCTGAAAGCTCCTCCATCGAGAGTGGCAAGTCTTCTATCCCATCTCCTCCCCTCCTCCGCAGCAATTGCTTTACTCAGTGAAGCAGGAAATACTCGCCATGAATGCTCCTGCCTATTTCGAGAAAGAGGATATTGCGCCAGAAACAGGACACCTCGTCGCCAGAAGTCTTGCTGTCCATAGTGATATAGAAAGGAAAGGGCTAATTATTTCGTCTAATCCTCTGCCCCAAGTATTGTCGATAAACATGCCTATGGGTATCCACGAGGTGGTTCACGACTGGGTGACAACCGAATTCGAGGTTACCACTGTGCTGAGTGGATTTTTTACCGGCGAAGAACTTGAGAGTTTCATTGTTTTCCCATCAAAGGGTAAGAGAATTAATATTCTCTATAAGATAACTATACTAATAAGAAATATATAGGTTACGATAATTTTGCCCCACCCTACAACAATACAAAGAGGCGGATGCTACCATAGAGTTTGAGGATATACCGTTGCCCATGGTTAGTGTTGAGGTTGGTTACTCTGAATCTCTACCTAGGCTTCTTCGCGACCGAGATGTCTGGATTGTTGGGGGAGCCCCCCACGTCAGAGCCATGTTACTGGTAAAGTGGAACATCCGCAGAAACAACCAAGTCGCCGGGTACCTGGAATTACATCGTCCTGGGGTAGCCAACCCTCCTCGTTTAGTGAGTATATTAACCCTTCTGGTGACTTTATTCTTTATACAACGGCTAACCAATGTTCTTCGTTGTAGAAGATCTTCCCGCGCACCCCCCACAGTATTTAATGTTCACAAAGGCTGATTTCTACCCCAACGGGGTAGTCCTGGTCGGGAGAAATCCCGATGACATCTGCAACTGGAGCCTCGACAAGCTAAGAAATAGAGCCACGCGTGCAATGGCAAAAGTCGGCTTGTCCCCAGCGCTCTAGCTGGATACGAATTGGGACGATTTATCAAGGTCCCCCACATCGTATATGCGGGGTCCGAACCCAACCACCGCGGATTGACATCTGAGATGTCGAAACGGTTGGCTCTTGGGACGTCGAAAACACGGCGTCGGGCACGTGCTTACTTGGCATGTCGATCTGTAGGACGCCTTAAACATGATATATTCCCTCCGTAGCTTTGGGAGGTGTGGAAAGTGATAACAATAGCGAAATCGGCGACGGACTGGATATAATGGAATTTAGGAGTGGAGAGTCGGCAAATCCGAGAAAGAGACCGCATCCCACGGAAGACGAGAATATCAACGATGGCGGGATGGTTACTGCTGCGGAAGGCTTCTTCGAAGCACTTTGTATGTTACTCAGGGATTTTTGACGGGATGTAGCTAATAGCTTTTGATTTGAAGCGGAGGCTGGTGTCACCCATTGTTTTGTCAATCTGTAAGTATTTGAGGATGTGTGTTTGGTATGTGTGCCTAACAGACAACAGAGGAAGCGACCATCCGGCCATGTTGGAAGCGATGATCAAGGCAAAGCAAGGTGCGATCTATTGGGTACTCCTAGTGGATAGAAGGCTTAATTTTCACAGAAAATCTGTCCAAATTCCCGACAATCATCACCTGTCCTTCTGAATTGGTTGCCTTGTCAGCAGCTCTGGGGTATGCCCAGGTCACGGGGATTCCGGTATGATATATCAGGGGTTAATCCACGCTCTCATGCTGAAGTAATTTAGCAATGTGTCATTGTGCATGTGGACTGTGGTACTCTCGCCATGGGACAATCTATTCATAACGCTTCAGTGGGCAGAGTGCCAGTTTTATGTTTTGCTGGACTCAGCCCCTTCACCCAGAACGGTGAACTTCTCGGCTCAAGGACAGAGTATGGCTCACAGGAAGTATGATTTTCAGGCAGGCTGACTTGTTGTAGATTCATTCATTGGCTGCAAGATGTACCCGACCAGGCGGCAATTGTTCGGCAGTACTGCAGATACTCGGGTGAGATCAAGACTGGTCGGAACATCAAAGAGATGGTCTATAGAGCGTTGCACTTTGCAATGTCAGACTCCAAGGGACCGGTATATCTTACGGCAGCAAGGGAGGTGCTCGAAGAAGTACGCACTACGATCTAACTTAACAGCAAACATGCTAACGGGAATATTTAGCACGTAGACAGGCGATTTCTTGGGGAGGAGACACTCAGTCCAATTGCTCCCAGCGCATTACCCGAATCAGGTCAGACATCCTTCAGAGATCTCAATTTTGAATATTGCTGACGACACCAGAGGTTGAATTTATTGCAACTGCGCTCATAAATGCAAAGAAACCACTTGTTATCACAGGATATCTTGGTCGTAATCCGCAAGCGCCGCCCTTGTTAGCAGAGCTATGCGACAGGCTACCCATCAATGTCCTTGAGTCAGTGGGGTCCGACATGAGCATGCGTACCGATCACGAGGCCTATCTCGGCGTTACCATCACCACACACCCAGCAGTGTGCGAGGCAGATGTAATCTTGATACTGGACTGTGATGTGCCTTGGATCCCTACTGCTGGAAGGCCACGAAAGGGTAAGAGACTCGCACCCAAGCCAGGTATACTACTTATTGACTGCCTAGGCACAACGGTCTTTCACCTTGATGTCGATCCACTTAAGCAACAAATGCCACGTACGTACCCATCCCAGTTCAATTGATCGCATTGCTAATCGTCTGTAACCAGTCTTCTCGATTAACGCAACTCGCAGGCTAAAAGTTAGCTGTGAGATTGCACTCCGGCAATTGAATGCCTTTATTGATAAGCAAGACATTGACAGGACAAGCTACGCTATGGCATTTGAGGCACGCGCGAATCGCTATCTGCGCTGGAGACAGGATCTACGAGCCCGGGAGTCTCCATCGCAGGACGGTGCGATCCGTGTCCCATACCTCGCCTCCAGACTGCGACACCACCTTCCAGATGATGCTGTTTACCTTGTTGAAGCCGTTAGCAATGCAGGCCTCATTATTCAGCATCTTAACTTGACAAAGGTATTTTATCTGCCTGATTTACCAAATACCCGTTAACACCGCTTCAGCCAGGAACGCTCGTCGGAAGCGGCGCCGGTGGTCTCGGATGGGGAGGCGGAGCGGCACTAGGTGTGAAGCTGGCCAAGCCCGGCGCATTCGTCTGTGCGATGTGAGTATTGGTAATAAGATTATGGCAACAATAACCTAATGAAGTGACAGCGTCGGGGATGGCACATTCCTCTTCTCGCAAATGGAGAGTGTCTATTGGATTGCTAGGCGGTATGATCTCCCATTCCTCCTGGTCGTGCTAAATAATGGAGGATGGAACGCACCGAAGGTGTCAGCCTTGCTTGT